GCTCTATTAAAAGGTTAACGGATTTAGATATGGTTACAAGAGCTTTGTCACTTGATTCTTCAATACATCCCAAACTATCTCTTGCTTCGGGTTAGCGATACATTTTTAAACATTTTTACATTTGTAAATCCTGTGTAATACTTTCTTTACCATTTAGATGTAACCGTTGGTATCCGATTAGAATCCCGTCTTAACGTAACTCCTGTCCCTCATAGTTTCCCACTTCGATACAATGTGACACCTTTATCAATGTCCAAACCTAGGATACTAACTCGATATGTTCCTGGATCGGAGTCTAGGCGGTATCTACGCAATCACATTGTTCGCACTTCCAAGGCAGGTCAATCTGAGCCACCTGATCCCAGCTGTAGGTCCGAATTGTGCTCTTGCTCTGAGCCTGCATTTGAGCTCTCCGATCCATCACCTTCTCAGGATACCTTAAAAAATGACAAAGCAAAAGCAGCAAATGCTCATTTGAATTTACTTTGTCGTCGATTTATCACCTCTCGACTCCAGAGACTTCAAAAGCGGAAGCCATCTGGATTACCGGTAAGATCCTACAGACGCTTGCATCCTTTATTGATTCTGATATAAACTATAAACCTCAGGCATCTTTATCAACCAAATTTTCAGAAAACTCGTCGAAGAGCCTTTCCCGGTTCACTGGACATAACTGCAGACAAAACTAATATAAAACCAGTGTTGGCTGTCCCTACTTCTCTCATACTCGATCGCGAGCCTACTGCTACTTGGCGAGGACTCCATTTTTCAACTTCTGATTCATTTCATTCTTATGCATTATCAACATCTGCATCTATTCCTGGATTTCAGTGCTACTCTTCTGACTCCCCGCACATACTTGGACTTCGCCCATTCAGAACGAAGTCTGAGGCAAGTTTAAATTTTATTGATCTTCGTGGTAGTCCTTTCTGTGGCTAGCTCCTCAGTTGTCATTTCAGCTTTTGGTTCATGTACTATTCTTGATAATTTAAGCGAATATTGATCGTAATGGGTACTTCATCACACCATGTTTGATTTCTGATATAATTCCGGTCTTAGCCTATGGTTGCTTGTTTGGTCGTTTACTTATAGATTAGTTGTGCTTTTCTCTTCTTGCTGTGCATAGCGTTTTTTCGGTTAACTTTTTATTCTGAATATTTACATCATTATCCATCTTTATTTTATTCAAATTGTATTAATTGATCTGATGCTTCT